GAGAGACATGGAGAGAAAGGTCTTCCTTCTGTTGGTCCACTCCCCAAATGGCCACTATGGCCGGTGCGCTGTGTGGATCCAAAGCCAGGAGCCAGGTGCTTCCTCATGGTCTCCCATGCAGGTGCAGGGCCCAAGGACTTGGGCCATCCTCCACTGCCTTCCCTGGCCACAGCAGAGAGCTGGACTGGAAGAGGAGCAACCAGGACAGAACCGGTGCCCCAATCGGGGCTAGAACCCAGAGTGCCAGCACCGCAGGCGGAGGATTAGCCTAGTGAGTCGCGGCGCCGGCCCCCCTGATTTTTTTAAAGATAAAAAATATTGCAGTTACAGATGAAGTCCTCTCTAATGCTGCTTGATATTTTAGCACTTCTAATGAATTGATGTATATCCTTATCTATATTTATATTATATATATATTGAGATATGTCTATATATCTGTCTATATTATCTGTAATTTACTATAAAAATGTACACCCATAAAAATATTTTTCTATTTTAAAATCACATACATTGTAACATTTGTCATATTTTACTTGTTTTGAAACTCTTGTTTTCATTGTTATAATTAATTATACTGACTATCCAATAACTGTAGTTTAATTGCTGAATAGTAATCTATGAAAATGTCATTTTTATCTACTAAAAAGTATTTGTTTAGCCAGAAAAATTGTACTGAGCTATAAAATAAAATCTTAGGTAAATGTTCGGATAGAGAAGGGACCTTAGAGATCATCTGGTATAGATTTCTTAAACTGAGGCTCATAGACCCTTTTCTATGAAATTGCAGTGTCTGGGGTTAGAACTGTTTTCTTCAAAAAGGGCCCAGCCTTGACTACATTCTCAGAGATATATGCACTGGTTTCTTGTCCTTTGAGGAGTCAGAGTTTATGGTGTAGTTCTACTCTCAAATTTGACATTTAAAGAGACCGAGGTCAAAGTTAAGTAATTCATACAAAATCAGAGTTGTAATTGAGTCTGTTCATAGACCCGGGTCTATGTTTATTGCCTTTTTAGAACACTACATTGCTTGAGTTTTATGCTTGCTTGTTTATTGATTTCTCATATAATATAATGTGTATTAGATTTCTTTTACTTTTTAGTCTAGTCTTTTATTTTTCTCCCTTTTAACTATTCCACTGCTAGTGAGGATGTGTTAAAATTAGTATATTCCTATATTACTGGTAGCACTGTAATTTAGTATCATCTTTTAGAAAATAATATGAGATGATTATGTGCCAATAAAATACTCATAGCATTTTGGCTCAGTAATTTTTATATTGAGAAAAAATGCTATTTTTCCTAAATAAATAATACATGCACAAAATGTATTATTTGTAATACTGAAAAATATCCACTAATAGTATCATAGATAAATCATGGTATACCCACTCCTTTGACTACTATGTAGACAATTTTTAAGTGCTTTTTTTCAAAAGACTTTTTAAAAATTTTTTGAGAGGTAGACTTGAAGACAGAGGGAGAGACATAGAAAGTTCTTCCATCCGCTAGTTCACTCCCCAAATGGCCCCACAGTTAGAGATGGACCATTCCAAAGCCAGAAGCCAGGAGCTTCTTCCGGGTCTTCCATGTGGGCTGCTAGGGGCCCAAGCACTTGAGCCATCCTCTGCTTTCCCAGGCCATAGCAGAGAATTGGATTGGAAGTGGAGTGGCCTGAACATGAACTGTCCCCCCGTTCCCTGCCATCCCCATATGGGATGCCGGTACCACAGATGGAAGCTTAACCTACTACACCACAGTGTTAGCGCCTATATAGGCAATTTTTAAAAAATATTTATTTATTTATTTATTTATTTGAAAGGAGGAGTTACAGAGAGGCAGAGGCAGAGAGAAAGAGAAATTTACAGGTCTTCCATCCCCTAGTTCACTTCCCAAGTAACTGCAACAGCCAGAGCTGTGCCAATTTGAAGCTAGGAGCCAGGAGCTTCTTCTGGGTCTCCCACACAGGTGCAGGAGTCCAAGGACTTCTGTCATCTTCTACAGCTTTCCTAGGCCATACCAGAGAGCTGGATCAGAAGTGGAACAGCCAGGACTCGAACTGGTGCCCATCTGGGATGCCAGCACTACAAGTGGCAGCTTTACCTGCTATGCCACAGTGCCAGCCCCTGTTCCACTTCTGATCCAGCTCCCTGCTAATGTGCCTGGGAAAGCAGCAATATGCCTGACCCAAATGCTTGGGCCCCTAAACTCACATTGAGACACCCAGAATAAACTCCTGGCTCCTGGCTTCTGCCTGGCCCGCCCTGGCTGTTGCAGCCATCTGGGGAGTAAACGAGCAGATGCAAGATTTCTCTGTCCTCCCTCTCTCTCTGTAACTCTGCCTTTCAAATAAATAAATCAATCTTTAAAAAAAACTACTTACATTATGATTACAACTTTGTAAAAAGTCCACAAGAAAAAAAAATAGAAGTACATGCAACAATTGATAGCCAGTCTATTTTTTTAATATTCCAACATTATTTATTTAATCAAAGTAAAATACACTTTCCATCACTATAAACTAAGCACAACTACAGTTGTTTACACATCCATATATTTTCTTTTCTTGATTATAATTCTTAGGTCATGCAGTTAAAGTGATAATTTTAAAGGAAAAAATGAATGCAAAAAGAATATTGTCATCAACTCCAAATGCAATGAATATAATAAATATATTTCCCACAGATTTATCACCTTAAAAATGTCTCTTTTTCAATACAGTTCCATAAGCATTAAAATGCTTTCTTCAGATTTAAAAGACTGGTTTTCAATTACAAATTTGTTGATTATATTTGCAAATTAGTTGGCCAAACAGCCATTTGATTTTTACATACAAAGTTGGAAACTGATCTTTCCACTGTTGTTCTTAAATAGAATTAGTTTCTGTATTTACCTGGCAAAAAGCATTTTGTAATCATAAGTATGAAATCAGGAAGACATTTTCCCAAAAGAAGGGCTTCTTTTTCAATGTTTTGATGTGTAGATTAATTTTTTTCTTAAAAATTTTTTATTTTATTTACGGCAGGGGGAGAATCTTCCACTTGCTGGTTCACTGCCCAGATGACCCCACCTGGCTAGAGTTGGGCCAAGTTGATGGAAGCCAGGAGCAAAGGCGTTCTATCTTGGCCTACCACCTGGGTGGCAGGAGCCCAAACACTTGCGCCACCACCTGCTGCTTTCCCAGGCCCATTATGCAGGGAGCTGCACAGAAAGTGGAGCAGCTGGAAATCAAACTGGTGCTGCGATAAGGGATGCTGTTGTCACAGCCAGGGTTTAGCCTGCTATCCAGAACACTCTCCGGTAAATTCATTATTTTAAACACTTTCTTAGTATAGGGACTATTTTAGGATCTTGTCATATGCTCTCATTCCAATTTTCTATTTAGTAGAGCTCAAATGAAAGCAAGCATATGTTTGTCTAAAATCAATTCATTACCAGTTTTCACACACACATATGCACATATCACACACAAATATTTAGTTTGTGTCCTTCCTGGTTAATACACATTTGTACTGACATACATAGGAGTATTCGAGCTTGCACATGAGCTAAACCAGCAGGGGGCGAAATACAATGGGAAAAATTCGACAAGCCATGTAGATTTTTCTCACTTTAGCGACTTAAGCAATAATCAAAAAATCCAGCGTCACCACAAAGCACTTGGTACTCCGATGTAAAGGGATGCAGTCTCCGTATACTTTACAGCGACTGAGTTGTAAGGAGGCAAATGCGGGTCTATTTTAACGCTGCAACTTAATTTGTCTAGAACATTGTAGGGGCGGGATAGACCATGATGAACTGCTATTGTCCTTATCTTTCCCCTGATTTGTTTAATTCCTCCTCAGATGGGTGGACACTTCTCTGTGGCGGAGGGTGTTTTCCAGCCTTGTCTCTTGGCGTAGTTGCTGAGCTTCGCTGTTTGGGAAATATTTTAAATTTTTCAAATTACTGATGCAGAGGTTGGGCAAAGGTGGGCAGACCGGGGGACCCTGCAGGGGTCATGATTCACAGAGCAGGACCCTGGGCTCAGCATCCCCGACAGTAATAATAATCTGGGGGATGCGGTCAGATTTCCACAGTGGCCAGAGTTCTCACAGGATTCACCGTAAAGGAAGGCGAAAGGTTAGAACTTGCTATGACCTCTGTTAGCGAAATGAGTTCAGATTCAGAGGTTGATTTTTCAAGTTTCATTGGCTATTCCTCTGAAAGAGCTATGAAAAACGGCCGCTGTCTCCGTCCGTTAGCAAAAGTCTGGATTATCATTATTTTGCCCAAGACTATTTGTCAGTCCGGCGGCAAGCTGCAGCTTTCTCACCTTAAGTTCGATTTGTAGCCATCCGTTCTTTGTTACTTATTAAACACCGGCTTGCTCCTCTGTTGGCTTACATAGAAAAGAGCAAGGGACTTGGACTGGGAATGAAAAAGTCATTTTTCAGGGCGAAAAGGGCAAGCCGATGAATGTTCCCTAATTGGTTTATGGTACAGAAAAGTCTGGTTCCGTATTTCCAAACCCGTGCAATTTTAATGGGAGTCTTAACTCGGTCCTGGGTTGACCAATAATTCCGACGGGCTGAGAGCAGCGGCTGCTCCTCGCCGGGAGCGCTGCCTCCTTGGGCGGCGGAGGGCGGGAGGACGTCTGTCGCCCACAGCTCGATGACTCGCAAGGAAGTAAAAGGAAAGGGCGGTTTGCCCGTACCCAAAATGGCGGCCGGAGCTCGGCGGCACGGCGCCTGCGCAGGGGTAAGCGTTCTGTGACACTAATTCCCCTGGAGCGTCTTCCCCCACCCCACAGCACCCACCAGCGCCGGGCCCCGACCTAGCCACCTGCGCCCGGAAGTGACGTGTCGGTGGCAGCGGTTCCCCCGCTGCATGATGGGAGAGTGTGTGGAGTGGGCGGGGGGTCTCCGCGGAGGAGGAGGTGGAGGAGGCGGCGGCGGCGGCGGAAGAGGGCGGAGGGTAGTGGGATGGGGGTCCCGCGGCAGCGCTGAAACTCCGGGTGGGCGTCCATGGCGCTGCTGCGCTGACAGGGCTGTGAACAGCCTGTCTTCCGCTCTCAGCAGCTCTGCGTCGGAGTAGCCGGTCCGTCCCCGGGGAGCCAGTTCCTCCCCGGGCCCCTGAGCCATGCCCATCGCGGCCGCCCCAGACGAGCCAGGTAAGCGCTGCCGCTCCGCTCCCCGAGCTGCGCGGGGTGGGGAAAGGTGCGGGGACTGGGCCCGGCCCACAGGCTGGACCCTCACCCTGGCCTCGAGCACCTGCTCGCTGCGGACCTGGAGGCTGCGGAGACGGGGACGGCTCTGCGGGCCTGCGGGCGTCGGGCTGTGCTCCCTTCCGCGCGGGTGCGGGAACGCCGCTGGCGGCGCCCGAACCGCACGGCCCCGTTCCCGGCTCGCCGGACACCGGCCGGGGGAGTGCGAGCCGTCCCTTCCCCGGCCGCTGCCGGCTCGCCCTGCCCCTTGGCTTCCACCTGCCCGCAGCTCGGCGCCGGCCGCTCCCTCCCGGGAGCTGTTGAGAAGTTTGGGGCACGGCTCGGGCTTCCTCTTCCTCCCTCCCCCTCCCTCGTGACAGGTGTAAACACTGCTTGCTCTGCCGAGGCCCGCGGCCCGCGGCTGCCTGGGGTCTCTGAAACCAGCGGATTTTGAATCCTCCAGCAAGCAGGGGCGACAGCCCCCAAAGCTCGTGCATCCTTTTCTAAGGGGGCCTTTTCTGCCTTCTTCTTGGGTCCCTCCAGAAATAATCTGCGTCTCTTCAAATTGCGTTTGAAAAGTTGGACCATTATTCTTTAAGCGCCCGGCTTGGCAGGTGCTGCGTGTTGCCTGGGGCAGGGACAGGGTGTGAGGTGAGCCGTGGTGGGTGCTTTCCATTAGGAAAGGAATAGAAGTTGTATTTATTTTCCTGTGGGTTTGCGCAAGTTATAGCTTGGTTCCCCCCCCCCCCCCCAATCTTCTGCTGGCTAGGGTAAGGACTGACTCACACATGCAAATAATTGGGGGGGGGGGTGTAGGAAAAGCAATAGTTGAGTTCCAGAGTTCTACTTTAGGAGAAGTCAAAGTAGAACTTTGGGTTTGAACTTTTCCTATAGTATAAATCTGCCCTCTAGCTTTTATCTCTTAATCGGAGTTTTCTTTTTAGGGGGGTGGGGTGGAGTGGTGAGCAGAGTTTATCCTTGATGTTACATTTAATGGTTGCTTTCCGTTAACTTCTTGGACGTAGAAATAGTGGCATATGCTAAATTGTGGGGGAAATACGTTTGAACACTGTTCTGTTGAATGATTAGCACAGTTTACCTGCACTTCAGGGCTGCAGCTTAATTGTTGGCTTTTGTAGTAGTCATTTTTAACACAACAGAAAGTATATTTGTTTAAACCAAGTCTCTGTGGTTTTTCTCAATTTTGTTCATAAAGATAATTTCCATATGGATTAAAAGTCTAGCTCCATAAATGGCACCTAATGGGTGTTCCTCTGGGTATCAAACTAGATCAATTAATCTTCAAAGTACAGAGACGTGTTAAAATCTTTTAAAAAGCTCTTTAAAGAAATTCACTAGAATTCAGCTAATTTTTAGGACATCTAAGTTTGATGTTTTCTGGTCATTTGACCCAGAGATTACTTTAAAATAATCCTGTATCAAAACAGAGATAATGCGTCTGTAATCCCATTGATGAATTTTGCAGAATCCAATTGTCTTTAGAAAACACATATAATCTAGGTGCATCCTATTTAAAACATCGTTTTAATTTTTAATTTGTTCTTACAGCTAGTCAAAAAGAACTAGTTCAGAAAGGGGATGAAATTTGAGTAGCAAATAGTGTTTTATTTTGTGTGACATCTGAAGTGCCTCCTTCAACAGGCAAAGACTTTGTGTATCATCTCATTAAGGGATTGCCCTTTCCCATTTCTTCCCTCAAAATTCATGAAAAGAAGTCACTAAGTATTTAGATATTTTCAAAATCAGAAAGTATTTAGATCAGCTATTTATATTCAAATTTGATGATGCCTATAGATTTTAAACTAAAAAAAATATTTTTTTCTCTCTCAGCATTTTCAGTTCCTCTTTTTGTAGGCTAGTGAGCCTTTCCACCCTGAACTTCATAAGCATTTTTAATTCTTATGCAATTTGGAAAATATCTGTCATGGATTTTACGTGTCATTTTGATCATCTTTTCTGAATCAGCATATGTGTGTGCATAAAGATACACAGAATCACAGGTCCTCTTGTAGATTTTTATGATAATTCCTAACACCCATTTACATTGCTTTCTGTGAGCAAGGTATTTTTCTAAATCCTTTCTGTACTGTATATTAAGCTTATTTAATCCTCAAAACAACCCTATAAGGGAGAAGGTAGTGTTATCCCTATTTTTCAGAGAGGAAACTGAGATAAGTAATTTGCCCGAGGTCAAACAGCTGATAAATGACAATGAAGATGTAATGTGATCCCATTTATATAGTTTTGAAACATGCAAAACTGTTCCATGTGAGTGTATTCTCTGTGATTGATGGAATATGTAGCAGAGTGTATGCATAGTAGTGATATCAACACCAAGTCAGAGTAAAAGTTATTTCTAGAGAATTGGAGAGGAATGAAGAATTGAGGAAAGGCCGAGTTTTCACATATCTCTTTACTGTCTTTAAATCTGAAGTATATTTGGTAAGCGATTAAAACTTAATCACAGCAAGGTAGTGGACAATTGATCATTCTTCCCTCTTCTGACCCCCAAGCTTTGTTCTGTGCTGAAATCCTTCATAATAAAGTTTAGATATTTAACTTTAAAACATATATAAAGTATCACTCAAATTTTAGCATTTTACATATATATATGTATATGTATTTTGATGCTGTTTTGAGTGGGAGACAGAGCTCTCATCCTTTGGTTCACTGATTCCAGGTCTCCTGTGTGGGTGGCAGAAACTGAGTTATTTGAGCCATCACCGTTGCCTTCTAGGATCTGCGGTAGCAAAAAGGTGGAGTTGGGAGCTGGGAATTGAATCCAGGCACAGTAATATGAAGTGGGGACATGTTAACTGCTAGGCTAAACACCCATCCAAGCACTATGTATTTAACAAGAGGACAGGGACGAAACTAGTGTTATTTTCTGTTGATTTCCTTTTAAAATATAAGGAACTTCTAACTCAAAAATATCTGGGGCCAGCACTGTGGCATAGAAGGTTAAGCTGCTGCCTGCCGTGCCAATTCGAGTCCCAGCTGCTCCACTTCTGATCCAGCTTCTTGCTTATGGCCGGCGAAAAGCAGTGGAAGATAGCCCCAGTCCTTGGGCCCTTGCACCTATGTGGGAGACCTGGAAGAAACTCCTGGCTCCTGGATTCAGCCTGGCCCAGCCCTGGCTATTGCCACCATTTGAGAAGTGAATCAGCATATAGATCTCTCTTCTCCCTGCAACCCCATCCTGCCTCCTTTTCTCTCTATCTCTGCCTTTCAAATAAATAGATAAATATTTAAAAAAAATTTTTTTTTGACTTAAGAATTGGGTTCTCTAGTCTCCTCTGCATTAACTCCTCTTGCCTGAACTCTGATTGCTGTCAGCCATCTCATATCCCTGATTGACACTCCGTGTTTTTCCCACCTTACCTAGGAGATAGTAGAGGCTCCTAGGTCTGTGGACTAGACCTTTCCTTGCGAAAGGAAAAGGTCAGAAACGATTCAGTGGGTGGTGGAGGCATGAGAATCATTGCTCATTCATTTAGCAGAGGTGAAAAGAGGAGGAAAATAGAGATTTAAGACTCCATCCTGTCAGTCACCACCACCCTTATTCCAAAAAACTAACTTCCAGGTAAGCCTCTTAGAGATACATTGCTAATAAATTGAAAGTTGTGTCTATGCACAAAGCCTGATTTGTAAGCACTGTGTTCATGGATAGTTTCCAGATTAAAATCACATAGTAAATTAGAAGAAATTTATTGTAGGTTCTGTTTGTGTCAGTACTTCAAGTGTGCATAGCCATTTCAACCAGGTATCTTAACACTGCAGCGTCCTGTTCCTTTCATTCATACAACAAATGTTCATTGAGTACCTGCCTGTGTCAGGCTCTGTTCTAGGTCCTGGGGATACAGAAACAAACAAATAAACAAGGGAAAAAAGAAATCTGCCCTCATAGAGCTTCAATTTCTTGTGTTATGTGTTTGGTGTATTTGGAACACACAGTTGTAATAGCAGTAAGATGGCAGATGACATTAAGTGTAATGAAGAAAAATAATCAATTTTGGGGCATAGGGAATGCTGACATTTTCACTTAGAGTAGCGGGAAGGCTTGCTGTTTTATGTAGCGTGGAGACAAAGAAAACTTAAGACCTAGAGGAGACAGAAGAAGGGAAAGAGTGGTAGAGGCACAGGTATGCCTAGAATAGTTAAGGAGTTGTGGCAGGCAAGTCCAGTGTGGCTAAAGTAGTCTGAGCAAGCAGAAGAATAGATCTGAGCAGAATTGGAGGGTGAGGGGGAACGTGTTGTAGAGTCTTTGTAGAAATTCTGGTGACTCTGGCTTTTTATTGTGTGAGGTGGGAAGCCATTGGAGGACTTTTGACTAAAGATGTAAGATAATGTGTTTTAAAAGGGATCTGGCTGGCTGCTGTTTAGATGCAATGATAAAACTAAAAGATGGTGATGGAACCAAGGTGGTAGCAGTAGAGCTACTGAAAAGTGGCCTAGCCAGTATGGAGAAGCTAATCTTCCTCTACTGCCCCCGTCCCCTAGTCCACCTGAGATATGAAAAGGCCCAATCTGGAGGGTTCTGGGCCTTCTGCCATGCATTTTGTCTGTGTACACGCTGGCTTTTAGTCGACCTCTGTGAATTTATTTTCTCTGAATAAATTGGTTGTTAAAAAAAAAAAAAAAGTGGTGTAGCAGTTTTCTTGAATTGGAACCTTCAGCAAGTCCTCCATTGATGAATCAAATTTACAGAGACAATCCCTTCTGAAATTTCAAGGCCCTCACAACCTGTGTTCTAGTTTACTGCCTTCTCCCTTCATAGATCCATTGTTTATTTGAAAGGAAGAGAGATTAGATTTTTCTTCCATCTGCTGGTTCATTGCCCAAAAGTCCTTGACAACTGGGGTTGAGCCAGGCTGAAGTCAGGAGCCTGGAACTCCATCTGGGTCTTGCACATGAACCCAAATTCTTGGACCATCACCTGCTGTCCCCTGGGTGCATTAGCAGGAAGCTAGATCCAAAGCAGAGTAGCAGGGTAACCTGGGCTTCAGCCAGGCAGCCCCTTATTAGATGCAGGCATCCCAAGTAGCAGCCTAACCCACTGTATTCCATTGTGTGTCTTACTGTTCTTGATAGTGGCACCATGTTGTTTTTTTTTTTTTTATTGATAGTTCTGCCATTTCCTCTATCACTTAAGTTTTTCCAGTTATAAATTCTTTCTCCTTCTTGAAACTTTTTCTCATTTCACCATTTCTCACAAAAATGTTACAAAAATGTAACAGGTCATCATACTACAAAGATAAAACTGTTAACATTTTGGTTTTTCCTTCATTATTTCTCCCCTTATGGATATGGGAATGTGTCATCCACACACACACACACATACACATTTGTATATAAATCAGGTTATATAGATTTTCCTTTTATTTACTGTTAAATATTCTTTAAAATATGATTTCTAATGGCTTTGTAGAATGCCATTAAGTGAGTTTCAGGTTATTTTTCCTATTTCTCATTGATTTGGTTTTTCCAGTTTTTGTTATCACAGAAAAGCATCTTGGTGAACAAGTCTGTGTGTAAATCCTTGCCCTTGCCCTTGACTATTTCCATGGGATCAAGTCTTAGAAGTAGTTACTAAATCAAAGGAAAAGCCCATTGCTTTCTAAGAGATTGTAATAAAATCACTCCTGTATACAGTGGTGTAATACCTTTTCCCCATTAATCCTCTCAGATGATCAGTAAATACAAAGTTTTTAAATTATTTGCCTGAATTTTTATTTTGGATTTAGGTATTTCAGCCAGGATGGTGTGTTTATATAATTAAAAAAAACTTTTAAGGATTGAAACCTGACCTGTGTCCTGACTTGTTATGAAGTTAAACTTGCTTAGTTCTATGCCCTTTTTAAAATGTTATTCTGAGGCCAGCGCCGTGGCTCAATAGGCTAATCCTCCACCTTGCGGCACCGGCACACCGGTTCTAGTCCCGGTCGGGGCACTGGATTCTGTCCCGGTTGCCCCTCTTCCAAGCCAGCTCTCTGCTGTGGCCTGGGAGTGCAGTGGAGGATGGCCCAAGTGCTTGGGCCCTGAACCCGCATGGGATACCAGGAGAAGCACCTGGCTCCTGGCTTCGGATCAGTGCAATGCTCCGGCCGCAGCGGCCATTGGAGGATGAACCAATGGTAAAGGAAGACCTTTTTCCCTGTCTCTCTCACTGTCCACTCTGCCTGTCAAAATAAATAAATAAATAAATAAAAATAAGTTATTCTGTTGCCAAATAAGAGGGTATTTTTAAATGCTTATAGAAAATTATGAAAAAAACTGCCATGAATTTCTTTTTTTTTAAAAGATATATTTATTTATTTGAAAGGCAGAGCTACAGAGAGGCAGGGGCAAAGAGAGAGCGAGGTCTTCCATCTGCTGGTTCACTCCCCAGATGGCTGCAATGGCTAGAGCTGAGCTGATCCAAAGCCAGGAGTTTTCTTCCAGGTCTCCCATGCAGGTGCAGGGGCCCAAGCACTTGGGCCTTCTTCTACTGCTTTCCCAGGTCATAGCAGAGAGCTGGATCAGAAGTGGAGCAGCTGGGACACAAACAAGTACCCATATAGGAAGCTGGCATCACAAGTGGCTTTACCTGCTACACCATAATGCTGGCTCCAAATTTGTATTTTATTTATTTGAAAAGCAGAGAGCCAGAGAAAGAACTCTCATCTGGTGGTATACTCTCCAAATGCCAGCAATAGCTAGGGTTGGACCAAGCTGAAGCCAGGAACCAGGAACTCCATCCAGGTCTCCCTCATAGGTGGCAGGGACCCAACTACTTGAGCAATGCCTGCTGCCTCTCCCAGGGTACACATTAGCAGGAATCTGCAATCTAGAGCAGGGCCAGGTCTCAAATCCAGGCAATTGGATATGGGATTGAGTGTATCAAGCATCTTCTTAATCATGAGGCCAAACACCCACCCAATCTGCTTCTTTTTTAATGTGGCTAATAGATCTAAAATTGCTTGTCTTTATTGTGTTGCAGTTGGACAGTGCTGCTGTAGAATTTGACCTGGAGTTCGTTCTATCTGTGGGGAAGAAATATAAGATTAAATTCACTGTTCTAGAAAGTAGTCAGTAAGTTTTTAAAAATTACATATTATATGTAAACCTGTCAATATATTTTTCATAGTAATTTTTCATAGTTTTTCCAGTACTTTTTGAATTATAAGTGTTCAGTTACAGTCTATAGCTTATTACATTTCTTATGCTCTGAAAAAATTCAGGGGAAAGGGTACTAATAAATTTACCTGAGGAATTGATTTCTCACCTAAAAAATTAAGGATGTGTTGGGAATGTTTTAGGCAATGAGGCTGTAAGTGCAAGGACAAGGGAATGTCACTGACTCCTTTCAACAACTGGAAGAAAACGTAGTTTAGAGCATTGAAACAATAGGAGAGGGCTGGAGAGTGGTCGGAGGGATGGGAATGACTTACAAGTTTCGTTGCACTTGTTTTTGTAAAAAATATTTTCCACAAGGAGAGGATTGGCATGAGATTTGGCTTTTAGGAAGATTACTTGTATTGCACATAGGGGAACTAGGTGATGCGAGCAGTAGCCTAGATCCGAATCAAGGGAGCTAGAAAGAGCTGCAGGTATTCCAAAATTAAGGGATTTGTGACCTAAGATGATTCTTTAGAGACAGTGAGGGTTGAGGACCTTTGTCAGAGATGACTCTGAGTTTGTGAGTTAGTAACTGGGTGGACAGTGGGGCCATTCACAGGATTAGAGATCCCTGGAAGAGGACTAGGTTTAGCTCTGTTCTTGTGAAGTTCACTTTGAGGTCTTTAAGGAATTTGAGTAACAAAGTCCAGTGTAAAGAATTGGATTGGTTGGACTACAGAGCTAAATCTGGGAATTCTAGAATATGATAACTATAACCCTTAAGTGGATGAGATTACTTGAGGAAATTTGACTAAGGAGAAAACTGTAATAAAACCTGGAAAAATTTATACTATTAATTTGAGTGTATTTAGTACTTATGAGAAAATTTCAGTTTGTTATGAAGTCTTTGTATAAAAGTAAAAGGATCGGATAAATACTTACCACTTGACATCTGTGTAATCCAGTAAATAATTTTACACATGCTAATTCGATTCTCTGGAACACTTTACCTTTTTACTGCAACAGAAAATACACTGGACTTCCTAACTGTTTAGGAAGCTGGCGATAGTTATGAATAGAGATTGGTATTTTGCTGTGTTAATAGATCTAAGGAAAAATATAAATTATTTTTATTAAAAATATAAATTATTATTTTAGATGCCAAAATGCCTATCTTTTTCTTTTTTTTTTTTTAACAAAACAAAACAAGAATTGGTATGGTGGTATTTAGCTTAGCACCTTAAGTCACCATTTGGGATGCCTGCATTCCATATCAGAGTACCTGGTTTCAGTTCTGGCTACCCTTCTTCTGATCCAGCTTCCTGCTAATGTGTACCCTAAGAGTCAGCAGATGATGGCTCAAGTATTTGGGTCCCTGCCACTTATGTGGGAGACCCAGATTGAGTTCCAGGCTCCTGAGGTCAGCCTGGCCCAGCCCTGGCTTTTGGGAATGAACCAGTGTATGGAAGATTTCTGTCTCTGTTTGCCTTTTAAATTACTGGATAAATCTGTAATAGAAAACATGGATGTCAGCCCTAACAGTATCTTAATTAAGGGGGAATGTTAGATACTTGTCACCACTATCATGAGACTTCACATTGGAGGCATTGACCAGCGCAGTTAATAAGGAAAAATAGAGGTATAAGAACTGGAAAAGAGAAGCTCTGTTCCAGTTTGCTTATATCGTATGGAACTTAAATTTATATAAATAGTCTTTGCTGACTATTTATATAATGACTTCATGACCAGAAAAAAGATAAAATAAATATTGTATATTGCTAACAGATTGTTTTTATGTTAAGTAAAATTAACAGTTTCTGTGTTTGTTGAGATCATTCCTTAGGCGAGCATTTAGCCTAGCAGCCCATATCAGAGTACCTGGGATAGTAGAGTAGCGGGTCTAGTACTCGGCTCCTAACTCCTGCTTCCAGCTAATGCAGAGCCTATGAGGCAGCTGTGAGGCCTCAAGTAATTGGGTTTCTGCAGCTCACAAGGGAGTCTTGAAGCAAGTTCCTGGCTCTTGCTCAGCTGGGCCCCTGCTAGCCATTGCAGTCATTTGGTGAGTTGGCCCTCTGCCTCTCAAGTGAAGAAATTAAAAATTTTAAATTATATTAAAAAGAAAAAGATTGTTTCTGAGTGATTAATGACTGATTTATCACTTTTTAACTCAGTCTTAAGTTATTTTTAAAATGATAAAATTTAACATGTTAAATGCTAATGTAATACTTTTTGAAAGCAGGATTCCTAGAAGAAGGATTTTTGATATTTTCATACATCTTAAAGAGGCCACAGTGTTTTGTTTTGTTTTGTTTTTAAGATTTATTTATTTATTTGAAAGGCAGAGTTACAGAAAAGTAGAGGCAGAGAGAGAGAGACTTCCATCTGCTGGTTCACCCTCCAAATGGCCTCAATGGCCGGAGCTGGACTGATCTGAAGCCAGGTGCCAGGAGCTTCTTTCGGGTCTCCCATGTGGGCCATTTTCTACTGCTTTCCCAGGCCGTAGGAGAGAGCTGGATCACAAGAGGAGCAGCTGGAACTAGAACTAGTGCCCATATGGGATGCCAACACTGCAGACAGCAGCCTTACCCACTACGCCACAGCGCCGACCCCCACGATGTTTTTTAATAGGTGAATAGTGTTTCTGCCTTACCCACCTTCCCAACTGGGTTTTTGATGTTTTCCTTCCTGGTCATTGCTTCTGTTTGTATCATATATTCTGCTGTGTTTCATCACCTCTCACAATCTTAACTGTTAATTGTGTGATGTAACAATGTTGGCCTGGAGTTACTTGCAGATAAAATACTTCTGCCTCAGTGACACTCCAAATCTGAAGTATTGATTTATTTTCTTAAGATTTTTGTTTTCAGTAGTTACTTGTAAAAAGTAATGAACTTTTTAAGAAATAATTTAACCCTTTTTTCATTGGACTCTTTTTAGATACGAAATTCAAACTTTGTTTTACTTGAAACTTCCGTAGAATATTTGATACTCACTACTTTGCTTTTATTTTAGAGCTTTATTTGAAAGAGATACAGAGAGAGAGAGAAAGAGAAAGAGATCTTCCATCTGCTGGTTCACTTCCCAAATGGCTGCAATGGTGGGGGCTGGGCCAAGCGGAAACCAGGAGCCAAGGAGCTTCTTCCAGGTCTCCCACATGGGTGCAGGGGCCCAAGGACTTGGGCTCTTTTCCACTGCTTTCCCAGGCCATAGCAGAGAGCTGGATCGGAAATGGAACAGCCGGGACTCTTAACTGGTGCCCATATGAGATGCCAGCACTGCAGGTGGAGGCTTTACCTTCTACCCTACAGCGCCAGCCCAACTCATTACTTTTTACTTAGAGTTAAGTCATCATATTCTCTTCTTTCCCTATTGCAGATTAATTTGCCTGTATCATAATAGGCCAACAGATGACAGCTTTCTGGCATATTAGGTTTCAGAAGTTTACTTGAAGCACAGTGCAAGTATTACATCTAAATAAAGTTAAGGGTTAATTAAGTTAACAGTAACTTGGTTTCTGAAGTAGAGCAGAGTTGTTTCTTGTTGTTGCTGCCGTTTACTTATTTATTTCTTAATGTCATCTGCGGATAAAACTGTAATTTTTTTTAAATTACTTAGTTGAAAAAGTGACAGGGAGAGAGAGGGAGAGATCTTCTATCTACTGGTTCACTTCCCAGATGCCTGCAGTAGCAAGGACTGAGCCAGGCTGAAGCCAAGAACCAGGAACTCCATTCTGGTATCCTACATGGATGGCCGGAGCCCAAAGACTTCATCATCTTCCAGAGCCCATTAGCAGGAAGCTGGATTGGAAGCAGGGTAGTTGGGACTGACACTGGCTCTCTGATAGTAGATGTTGACTTTGCCAGTAGCATTTTTAACCCATTGTGCTACAACACTGGCCCCTGTAATTAATTTTTTAATGTGTTTTTTTTTTCTGAAAATTCTATAGCATTAAAATGTGCATAATTATGAATGAAACTTCTAAAAGGAGTAAACAAATTATTTCATAAGCTCTGGTTCATAGGAAGTAATAATTGAATATTTGTGATTTGGAATTCCTCAAATTCAGAGCTGTCTGAAATATTTATTTATTAAGATTTTTATTTATTTGAGAGGCAGAGTTACAGACAGAGGGAGAGACAGAGAGAGAGTTTTCCATCTGCTGGTCTACTACTCCCCAAGTTGCTGCAACAGCTGCAGCTGGGCTGATCCAAAACCAAGAGCCAGGAGTTTCTTCGGAGTCTCCTATGCAGGTGCAGGGGCCCAGGCACTTGGGCCATCTTCCATTGCTTTCCCAGGCCACGAGCAGAGAACTAGATGGAAAGAGGAACAGCTGGGTCATAAACCAATACCCATGTGGATGCCCTCGCCACAGGTGGAAGCTTACCCTACTACACCACAGCACTGGCCTCTGAAATATTTAATGTTTCAAAGATTGCATGGTAATTTGAATTTGATCATTTTAAGTAAATCTCCCAAGTTTCATTTTTAAGAAAAGTGTTGAAGATTTAATGTTATAAATTCTTTGTTTTGGAGACCAGCATTGTAGAGTAGTGAGTAAAACCTCTGCCTACAATGCCACATCCCATATGAGCACTAGTTTGAGTCCTCACTGCTCTACGTCCTATCCAGCTCCCTGCTAATGTGCCTGGGAAAGCAGTGGAAGGTGGTCCAAGTGGTTTAGCCTCTGCATCCATATGGGAGTTCCAGAGGAAGCTCCTGGATCCTAGCTTTAGCATGGCCCAGCCCTGGTCCTTGTGGCCACTTGGGGAGTGAGTGAACCAGTGGATGGAGGACCTCTTCCCCCCAACTCAACCCCGTAACTCTGCCTTTTAAGTAAATAAAATAATCTTTAAAAATAAATAAATCCTTGTTTTTGAAATGTGAATGTTAAATTTTTTTTTAGTAATATTACCAGATAAATGTGTATAACTTTAGAAATATTTGTACAGTCAACTCATTGTAAGATAAAACATTTTATTAAAATTAGTGCTTCTTTATGGCAGGTGTTTGGCCTATGTTTTAAGAAACCCACATCCCATATTGGGGTGCCTAGATTTGATTTGCCCCTCCAGCTCCTGACTGGCTTTCTGCTAATTCAGGCCCTAGGAGACAGTTGTCAAATGATGGCTCAAGTAATTGTGTTTCTGCCACTCAAATGGAGACCTGGAATGAGTTCCTGGTTCCTGTCCAGGAGCTGTTGCAAGCATTTGGGAAGTGAACCAGTGGACAATAACATGTTCCTTCTTTTCTTCCCTCCCTCTTCTCTCTGCCTCTCAAATTAAAAAAAAAAAAAAAAAAGGCAGTATATGAATAAGTGCCTTAGACTTTTCACATAGTAACTCACTAAATATAGGCAATGACATTTCACCATCCCTTCACAAGAAATTCATGCCTGAATATGGTTTTGATGGCTTAGTAAATGGATACTCTGGACATGTAAGAAGATGAAATTAGATGAAGTGGGACAACTTGGAGTTAACTTGATGTCCCTGGGGGAACCAGAGGTTGTTCTGATGGCTGGAGAAAAGGGGGAATATCAGCCGTATTGGCTAGGATAAGGAATTTCAAGTGTTCTGCACTAATCTTGGTCAAAAATAATGAGGCCTTGAAATAAAGTATTGGTCATGGATGTTAAAACAAAAATAGTAATAGGTGTTGGGGACAAAGAGCCATGTGTTTTTTTTTTAATTTGGGGTGGGGAGGTGGTAATGGTGAAGAGGAAGCAATCAGAGGTAACATTCAGATTCTAGACTTCAACTTCACAAGATTGTATATAGGAATAGGTGGTTTGAGTAGAATTTGACTTGAGTTTTGGAACTGGAGGATATGATGTCTCTGGAACTTCTAAGTAGCAGTTTATTTTTAAAGATTTATTTATTTGAAAGGCAGAGTTACAGAGAGGAAAGACAGATCTTCATGCGATGGTTCACTCCCCAAATGTCCACAGCAGCTGGTGCTGGGCCAGACCAAAGCCAGGAGCTTCATCCATGTCTCCTATGTGGGTGCAGGAGCCCAATTACTTGAGCCGTCCTCTACTACTATCCCAGACACATTGGCAGGGAACTGGTTCAGAAGTGGAACAGCGGGGACTTGAACTGGCTCCCATGTGGGATGCTGGCATGGCAGGGAACCTGGTACCCCACAACACTGACCCCAAGTAGAGATATTTTAGAATGACATTTGAGTAGACAGATCTGGAGGTTAGCAGCCTGAAAATGGAGGCTTATACATTGTGAACATATAAAAACAAAAAGTGCATAAGAGTATAAGGAAGCCATGACCTTTGGAACACTGGCTGTTCTGATAGAAACCAAAGAAGCAGATCCAGGGGCTGGCATTGTGGTGCAGGGTGTTAAGCCGCTTCCTGTGATGCAGGCATCCCATATCAGAGTGCCATTGGGAGCCCCAGCTGTTCTACTAACGATCTAACTCCCTGCTAATGTGCCTTGGAAAGCAGCAGATGAAGGCCCAAGTACTAGGCCCCTGGCACCCGTGTGGGAGACTTGGATGGAGTTCTGAGCTCCTGACTTCAGCCTGGCTCAGCTCTGACCATTGCAACCATTCAGGGCGTGAGTGAGGCATGAGGTGGTGGATGGAAGCACTTTTGTGTCTATTACTCTGCCTTTCAAATAAATAAATCTGAAAAAAAAAAGGGGGGGGGGTTGTAGGTCTATTGGAAGCAGAGGGATCAAATACGATTAAATAGAAGAATGCTTTTCAGAAATGCCTTTTCACTTAAAAATGTATTTTAGATACTTTCCCTTATTAGCAGTTTAGCTTTATTTTATTTTTGAATGCCTGAACTTTTCATTTTCCTTATGATGGGTATTTCAGTTGTTTTTATTTGCTTATAATTAAACAGTATTGGAGTTAACATTTTTGTGGAAATGTCTGCATACTTGCATGAATGTATCTATAGGAAACATCCTTGTAGATGTAGATGAAATTGCCTAGTCTAAAGAATGTACATTAAATTTTTGATATATTATTGAATTGCTCATGGTATATAAGCTATTGTATGTTCCTTCCAGTAGTATCTTTTAGGCAACTTTGGCTCTTTTAGAGAATATTTGTAATCTGTCGAACATCCATGTTTTGTATAATGAGTGTTTTGTTTTTTTTTAAAGATTGATTTATTTATTTGAAAGGGTTACACAGAGAAAGAGAGGCAGAGAGAGAGGTCTTCCATCTGCTGGCTCACTCCCCCTTTGGCCACAATAGCCAGAGCTGTGCTGATCCGAAGCCAGGAGCCTCATCTGGGTCTCTCTTGTGGGTGCAGGGGCCCAAAGTCTTGGCCATCTTCTGCTGCATTCCCAGGCCATAGCAGAGAGCTGGATCAGAAGTGGAGCGGCCAGGACTCAAACTAGCACCCATACAGGTTGCTGGCACTGCAAGTGGCAGCTTTACCCACTACACCACAGGGCCGGCCCCAATGAGTGTTCTTTTAAAAAATTTTCATCTTTAAAGTGTCTTTCATCCCAGATTGAAAGTAGTATGAATTCGAAGGAAAATAAATAGTATTTTATTCATTACTTTGATGCATAATAAAGAGAAAAAGAACACTTTAATTTTATCTAATTACTTGGTTATTGAAATAATGTAATTTAAAAATGCATTTTGTTCTTGTAAGCATCAGACTGGGAGGAGTTCTTTGTTTTTAAAGAAACTCTGTTTCTTTGACTTGTATGCTGGAAGCAATAA